TCCTCTATGGATTCAACCACGTCCTCCTTCCAATCGACCACTTCTCCAACTGATTCCTCTGTGGATTCAACTACTTCACCTAGCTCCAGCTCCAGCTCCAGCTCCAGCACCAGTGAGGAAACAACCACGTCTTCAATCTCCTCCAGCTCTTCCACACACTCTCCAACTGACACCAGTACCTCTTCAAGCACGGACACAACCACTTCTTCAAGCTTTTCCACATCATCCTTGGATTCGACCACTTCTTCTCCAACTGAGGACTCCAGCTCCTCTACTGACTCAAGCTCTTCCATAGAAAGCTCTTCAACTTACACCAGCTCTTCTTCAGGCTACTCCTCATCCAGCTCCTCTTTGGAGCCCACCATTTCTTCCACTTTCCCAAGCTCCTCTATGGATTCAACCACGTCCTCCTTCCAATCGACCACTTCTCCAACTGATTCCTCTGTGGATTCAACTACTTCACCTAGCTCCAGCTCCAGCTCCAGCTCCAGCACCAGTGAGGAAACAACCACGTCTTCAATCTCCTCCAGCTCTTCCACACACTCTCCAACTGACACCAGTACCTCTTCAAGCACGGACACAACCACTTCTTCAAGCTTTTCCACATCATCCTTGGATTCGACCACTTCTTCTCCAACTGAGGACTCCAGCTCCTCTACTGACTCAAGCTCTTCCATAGAAAGCTCTTCAACTTACACCAGCTCTTCTTCAGGCTACTCCTCATCCAGCTCCTCTTTGGAGCCCACCATTTCTTCCACTTTCCCAAGCTCCTCTATGGATTCAACCACGTCCTCCTTCCAATCGACCACTTCTCCAACTGATTCCTCTGTGGATTCAACTACTTCACCTAGCTCCAGCTCCAGCTCCAGCTCCAGCACCAGTGAGGAAACAACCACGTCTTCAATCTCCTCCAGCTCTTCCACACACTCTCCAACTGACACCAGTACCTCTTCAAGCACGGACACAACCACTTCTTCAAGCTTTTCCACATCATCCTTGGATTCGACCACTTCTTCTCCAACTGAGGACTCCAGCTCCTCTACTGACTCAAGCTCTTCCATAGAAAGCTCTTCAACTTACACCAGCTCTTCTTCAGGCTACTCCTCATCCAGCTCCTCTTTGGAGCCCACCATTTCTTCCACTTTCCCAAGCTCCTCTATGGATTCAACCACGTCCTCCTTCCAATCGACCACTTCTCCAACTGATTCCTCTGTGGATTCAACTACTTCACCTAGCTCCAGCTCCAGCTCCAGCTCCAGCACCAGTGAGGAAACAACCACGTCTTCAATCTCCTCCAGCTCTTCCACACACTCTCCAACTGACACCAGTACCTCTTCAAGCACGGACACAACCACTTCTTCAAGCTTTTCCACATCATCCTTGGATTCGACCACTTCTTCTCCAACTGAGGACTCCAGCTCCTCTACTGACTCAAGCTCTTCCATAGAAAGCTCTTCAACTTACACCAGCTCTTCTTCAGGCTACTCCTCATCCAGCTCCTCTTTGGAGCCCACCATTTCTTCCACTTTCCCAAGCTCCTCTATGGATTCAACCACGTCCTCCTTCCAATCGACCACTTCTCCAACTGATTCCTCTGTGGATTCAACTACTTCACCTAGCTCCAGCTCCAGCTCCAGCTCCAGCACCAGTGAGGAAACAACCACGTCTTCAATCTCCTCCAGCTCTTCCACACACTCTCCAACTGACACCAGTACCTCTTCAAGCACGGACACAACCACTTCTTCAAGCTTTTCCACATCATCCTTGGATTCGACCACTTCTTCTCCAACTGAGGACTCCAGCTCCTCTACTGACTCAAGCTCTTCCATAGAAAGCTCTTCAACTTACACCAGCTCTTCTTCAGGCTACTCCTCATCCAGCTCCTCTTTGGAGCCCACCATTTCTTCCACTTTCCCAAGCTCCTCTATGGATTCAACCACGTCCTCCTTCCAATCGACCACTTCTCCAACTGATTCCTCTGTGGATTCAACTACTTCACCTAGCTCCAGCTCCAGCTCCAGCTCCAGCACCAGTGAGGAAACAACCACGTCTTCAATCTCCTCCAGCTCTTCCACACACTCTCCAACTGACACCAGTACCTCTTCAAGCACGGACACAACCACTTCTTCAAGCTTTTCCACATCATCCTTGGATTCGACCACTTCTTCTCCAACTGAGGACTCCAGCTCCTCTACTGACTCAAGCTCTTCCATAGAAAGCTCTTCAACTTACACCAGCTCTTCTTCAGGCTACTCCTCATCCAGCTCCTCTTTGGAGCCCACCATTTCTTCCACTTTCCCAAGCTCCTCTATGGATTCAACCACGTCCTCCTTCCAATCGACCACTTCTCCAACTGATTCCTCTGTGGATTCAACTACTTCACCTAGCTCCAGCTCCAGCTCCAGCTCCAGCACCAGTGAGGAAACAACCACGTCTTCAATCTCCTCCAGCTCTTCCACACACTCTCCAACTGACACCAGTACCTCTTCAAGCACGGACACAACCACTTCTTCAAGCTTTTCCACATCATCCTTGGATTCGACCACTTCTTCTCCAACTGAGGACTCCAGCTCCTCTACTGACTCAAGCTCTTCCATAGAAAGCTCTTCAACTTACACCAGCTCTTCTTCAGGCTACTCCTCATCCAGCTCCTCTTTGGAGCCCACCATTTCTTCCACTTTCCCAAGCTCCTCTATGGATTCAACCACGTCCTCCTTCCAATCGACCACTTCTCCAACTGATTCCTCTGTGGATTCAACTACTTCACCTAGCTCCAGCTCCAGCTCCAGCTCCAGCACCAGTGAGGAAACAACCACGTCTTCAATCTCCTCCAGCTCTTCCACACACTCTCCAACTGACACCAGTACCTCTTCAAGCACGGACACAACCACTTCTTCAAGCTTTTCCACATCATCCTTGGATTCGACCACTTCTCCAACTGAGGACTCCAGCTCCTCTACTGACTCAAGCTCTTCCATAGAAAGCTCTTCAACTTACACCAGCTCTTCTTCAGGCTACTCCTCATCCAGCTCCTCTTTGGAGCCCACCATTTCTTCCACTTTCCCAAGCTCCTCTATGGATTCAACCACGTCCTCCTTCCAATCGACCACTTCTCCAACTGATTCCTCTGTGGATTCAACTACTTCACCTAGCTCCAGCTCCAGCTCCAGCTCCAGCACCAGTGAGGAAACAACCACGTCTTCAATCTCCTCCAGCTCTTCCACACACTCTCCAACTGACACCAGTACCTCTTCAAGCACGGACACAACCACTTCTTCAAGCTTTTCCACATCATCCTTGGATTCGACCACTTCTTCTCCAACTGAGGACTCCAGCTCCTCTACTGACTCAAGCTCTTCCATAGAAAGCTCTTCAACTTACACCAGCTCTTCTTCAGGCTACTCCTCATCCAGCTCCTCTTTGGAGCCCACCATTTCTTCCACTTTCCCAAGCTCCTCTATGGATTCAACCACGTCCTCCTTCCAATCGACCACTTCTCCAACTGATTCCTCTGTGGATTCAACTACTTCACCTAGCTCCAGCTCCAGCTCCAGCTCCAGCTCCAGCACCAGTGAGGAAACAACCACGTCTTCAATCTCCTCCAGCTCTTCCACACACTCTCCAACTGACACCAGTACCTCTTCAAGCACGGACACAACCACTTCTTCAAGCTTTTCCACATCATCCTTGGATTCGACCACTTCTTCTCCAACTGAGGACTCCAGCTCCTCTACTGACTCAAGCTCTTCCATAGAAAGCTCTTCAACTTACACCAGCTCTTCTTCAGGCTACTCCTCATCCAGCTCCTCTTTGGAGCCCACCATTTCTTCCACTTTCCCAAGCTCCTCTATGGATTCAACCACGTCCTCCTTCCAATCGACCACTTCTCCAACTGATTCCTCTGTGGATTCAACTACTTCACCTAGCTCCAGCTCCAGCTCCAGCTCCAGCACCAGTGAGGAAACAACCACGTCTTCAATCTCCTCCAGCTCTTCCACACACTCTCCAACTGACACCAGTACCTCTTCAAGCACGGACACAACCACTTCTTCAAGCTTTTCCACATCATCCTTGGATTCGACCACTTCTTCTCCAACTGAGGACTCCAGCTCCTCTACTGACTCAAGCTCTTCCATACAAAGCTCTTCAACTTACACCAGCTCTTCTTCAGGCTACTCCTCATCCAGCTCCTCTTTGGAGCCCACCATTTCTTCCACTTTCCCAAGCTCCTCTATGGATTCAACCACGTCCTCCTTCCAATCGACCACTTCTCCAACTGATTCCTCTGTGGATTCAACTACTTCACCTAGCTCCAGCTCCAGCTCCAGCTCCAGCACCAGTGAGGAAACAACCACGTCTTCAATCTCCTCCAGCTCTTCCACACACTCTCCAACTGACACCAGTACCTCTTCAAGCACGGACACAACCACTTCTTCAAGCTTTTCCACATCATCCTTGGATTCGACCACTTCTTCTCCAACTGAGGACTCCAGCTCCTCTACTGACTCAAGCTCTTCCATACAAAGCTCTTCAACTTACACCAGCTCTTCTTCAGGCTACTCCTCATCCAGCTCCTCTTTGGAGCCCACCATTTCTTCCACTTTCCCAAGCTCCTCTATGGATTCAACCACGTCCTCCTTCCAATCGACCACTTCTCCAACTGATTCCTCTGTGGATTCAACTACTTCACCTAGCTCCAGCTCCAGCTCCAGCTCCAGCACCAGTGAGGAAACAACCACGTCTTCAATCTCCTCCAGCTCTTCCACACACTCTCCAACTGACACCAGTACCTCTTCAAGCACGGACACAACCACTTCTTCAAGCTTTTCCACATCATCCTTGGATTCGACCACTTCTCTCCAACTGAGGACTCCAGCTCCTCTACTGACTCAAGCTCTTCCATAGAAAGCTCTTCAACTTACACCAGCTCTTCTTCAGGCTACTCCTCATCCAGCTCCTCTTTGGAGCCCACCATTTCTTCCACTTTCCCAAGCTCCTCTATGGATTCAACCACGTCCTCCTTCCAATCGACCACTTCTCCAACTGATTCCTCTGTGGATTCAACTACTTCACCTAGCTCCAGCTCCAGCTCCAGCACCAGTGAGGAAACAACCACGTCTTCAATCTCCTCCAGCTCTTCCACACACTCTCCAACTGACACCAGTACCTCTTCAAGCACGGACACAACCACTTCTTCAAGCTTTTCCACATCATCCTTGGATTCGACCACTTCTCCAACTGAGGACTCCAGCTCCTCTACTGACGCAAGCTCTTCCATAGAAAGCTCTTCAACTTACACCAGCTCTTCTTCAGGCTACTCCTCATCCAGCTCCTCTTTGGAGCCCACCATTTCTTCCACTTTCCCAAGCTCCTCTATGGATTCAACCACGTCCTCCTTCCAATCGACCACTTCTCCAACTGATTCCTCTGTGGATTCAACTACTTCACCTAGCTCCAGCTCCAGCTCCAGCTCCAGCACCAGTGAGGAAACAACCACGTCTTCAATCTCCTCCAGCTCTTCCACACACTCTCCAACTGACACCAGTACCTCTTCAAGCACGGACACAACCACTTCTTCAAGCTTTTCCACATCATCCTTGGATTCGACCACTTCTCCAACTGAGGACTCCAGCTCCTCTACTGACTCAAGCTCTTCCATACAAAGCTCTTCAACTTACACCAGCTCTTCTTCAGGCTACTCCTCATCCAGCTCCTCTTTGGAGCCCACTATTTCTTCCACTTTCCCAAGCTCCTCTATGGATTCAACCACATCCTCCTTCCAATCGACCACTTCTCCAACTGATTCCTCTGTGGATTCAACTATTTCACCTAGCTCCAGCTCCAGCTCCAGCTACAGTGAGGAAACAACCACGTCTTCAATCTCCAGCTCTTCCACACACTCTCCAACTGACACCAGTACCTCTTCAAGCACGGACACAACCACTTCTTCAAGCTTTTCCACATCATCCTTGGATTCGACCACTTCTTCTCCAACTCAGGACTCCAGCTCCTCTACTGACTCAAGCTCTTCCATACAAAGCTCTTCAACTTACACCAGCTCTTCTTCAGGCTACTCCTCATCCAGCTCCTCTTTGGAGCCCACCATTTCTTCCACTTTCCCAAGCTCCTCTATGGATTCAACCACGTCCTCCTTCCAATCGACCACTTCTCCAACTGATTCCTCTGTGGATTCAACTACTTCACCTAGCTCCAGCTCCAGCACCAGTGAGGAAACAACCACGTCTTCAATCTCCTCCAGCTCTTCCACACACTCTCCAACTGACACCAGTACCTCTTCAAGCACGGACACAACCACTTCTTCAAGCTTTTCCACATCATCCTTGGATACGACCACTTCTCCAACTGAGGACTCCAGCTCCTCTACTGACTCAAGCTCTTCCATAGAAAGCTCTTCAACTTACACCAGCTCTTCTTCAGGCTACTCCTCATCCAGCTCCTCTTTGGAGCCCACCATTTCTTCCACTTTCCCAAGCTCCTCTATGGATTCAACCACGTCCTCCTTCCAATCGACCACTTCTCCAACTGATTCCTCTGTGGATTCAACGACTTCACCAAGCTCCAGTACCAGTGAGAAAGGGAGCACTTCCACAGACTCAGAAAGTTCTCGAAGCAGCTCCTCTCTGTCTTCTGCACACTCCTTGTCATCTAGATCTTCCATGGAGCCCTCCATATCCTCAACATTTACGAGCTCCTCTGTGGACTCAAGTGCTCTGACAACGCTCACTGTTTACCCGACGGACTCTTCCACTCCATTGAGCTTTTCCACAACACCCTTGGATTCGACCACTTATCCAACTTATTTCAGTTCAAGTACTTCTTTTTCAACCACTTCCGCAATATACTCCAGTTCTTCTACAGACTCATCCGGTGGCATGGAAGATGATGGCATATTCATAATCGTGGTTGTGATAGTTGTTGGATTAATATTGGCAGCCATCTTAGCTACCTGTTGCTTCTTCTTCTTCTTCGTTTTAAAGCGTAAAGAGCATCCTGTTCAGGTAATATTTTCGATGAATTTTATATTATACGTATATATACACGTTTTTATGTGCGATTTGTATATGTTATTCCATCTTTCTCTCTCTCTCTCTCTCAAAGACACACACGTACATGTAGTTTGTATACATATACATTAAAACACACACACACATATAGATACCTAAATGTTTGTGTGTGTCATATATACAGACACATACAAATATACATATATATATAAATGTGTGTTTACATATATTTGTAAACACACACATACACAAACACGCGTATGTGTGAGTGTGTATGTGTGTGTGTATTTATTCATTTATTTATATTTGTATAAACATATATTTAGGTATATATGTATATATGTATGTATGTGTGTGTGTGTACAAGTAGAACAATGAAGGGAAGTACGGGAAATACGAATATGCCGAAGGCCTCTTCGCATTTACTGCTTCATCAGGACATACGGAACAAGAGATACAAAGAAGTATATATACATGTACTTGTTGAAGGGGGCAGGCCTTGTTTTATGATGGAGGCCTGGGACCTCTTAGGGAGATGGCCGTCGGTGTCGACGTGAACAACGAAGGCGCTCCTCCTGTCATGTCGTCGGAGGGCGCTGCGGTGTTGGTCGATTCGTTGTTCGGGTAGGCCTCGTCCTAGCTCACCTGATCACCGACGTGACCTGACCGCCAAGTACATGTATATATACTTCTATGTATCTCTTGTTCCGTATGTCCTGATGAAGCAGTAAATGCGAAAAGGCCTTCGGCATATTCGTGTGTTTTCCTGTACTTCCCTTCATTGTTCTACTTGCACACACACATACACACATATATACATACATACATATATATATATATATATGTGTGTGTGTGTGTGTGTGTGTGTGTGTGTGCGCACACACACACACACACACACACATATATATATATATATATATATATATATATATATATATATATATATATATATACATATATATATATATATATATATATATATATATATATATATATATATATATATATCAGGTATAATCGAAATCGGTCAAGTACATCTCTTGTATTGTGATGATATTCATTTTCATTCATATCTTTTCTACATTTTTACATATACACATCTGTATATATACATACATGCATATATGTATTATATATATGTATATATATACACTCACGTATATATACATGAATTATATCATATATATATATATATATATATATATATATATATATATATATATATATATATATACATATGGAAAATTAATAGTACGACTATTAACAGCTGACTGTCATTCCTCTGGAATGCTCCATTGGGCAAGCAATAGTAACACATATCTCTTAGTCCAATAACTGTAGAATGATCACAGTTCGTAAGATGTATACTATATCTGATATTTTATCTGTCAACAGGATCTCGAAGAACAGATAATCGGAGATGACGAATATGTTTCTGATACATATTCCGAAGAAAGTGACTCGCTGTATGAAATATCTATACCAAGAGCAAAGGTTGTTCCTTTCACACGCCAACTGACTCCGTGGGGCGTCCAGAATCCTATGACCATCCGCGACGACGAGACCGAAGACCTAGAATTACCTGAGGACCATGGACGCAATCCTTACGCCCTTGACCAGACGAATCTCCATGAGTTTAGTTTGGAGAGATTCCTGAGGGATATTCAGGATACCCAACCCCCTACTCTGTCGGGATCCTTCAGACTTCCGAGACTGTGAAGATAGCCAGGAGCGTCTTTTGATATTGCGCCGATGGCCCTTTCCAATATGTTCTGTGTGTGTTCGTGTGTTATATTTTTTACCATTAAATTCTGTCTATATTAGTGCAAATATAACGAAGGGAAGAGCAAGAAAGCACACATATATTACGTTCTTTTCCTTGTTCTATCTACAGTTTGTTGATTCATTATGTATGTATGTATGAGTGGATCAAAACGAAATGGCTGGTAAATTTCCTATCGGTAGAAATATAATTAATGATAAATGATTTTCATTCATGTAGATATACTTAAGTGATAATGCACCTCAGTGAAAGCCTTATATGCACATATTGTAAGCTTATGGAATAAGATAGACCACTCTCGCGGTTACTTGTTAAATATTTTACTTCTGCAAACTGTATGAGGATCGCAATCCACAGAGAAATGAGGCTTGGAATGAACAGACAGAAGGACACACACCTAATTGAACACATGATGGAGGACTGCAATCATGCTGAAGGTTTTTGTATCATTTATGAACATGAACCTACTGGTTGTGTTGAGAACAGGATATAACATTCAAGGGATATTATGGTTGGCGAAGAGGAAACCATTGTTGATTCAGACAAGCACTTCGATCACTGAGGATACAACACGCTGCGCTGACCTATCTGACCTGTTCTCAATACGTGTTCTACATATACGCCTCTAACAAAAAGAGAGAGAAGAAAAAAAAAGAGAGACAAAAAAAGAAAAAAAGAAAAGAAAAAAAACAGCAACAATCAGTGTATGTCCTCAATTCCTCTATGGCTATACTTGTTTTATCGCAACTTTCTCTCTCTCTCTCTTTCCAATTTCTCTATACCGAAATGTCTCATCTCTTGGACTCTGATGGCAGAATCTCACTTGTTTTCTTGATGTTACCACCTGCCCTTAAAGACGAATAATTATGCAATGGCTTTCATGTGTTTTTCATTGCAGAGCTTAAGAATATATATATATATATATATATATATATATATATATATATATATATATATAATATATATATATATATATATATGTGTGTGTGTGTGTGTGTGTGTGTGTGTGTGTGTGTGTGTGTGTGTGTGTGTGATTCTGCTATTATACTTGATATCACTGTAAATGTTGTTGACATTTGTACTAATTTCAATTGATGTTATTACTATTTTTTTTTTAATTTCTTTTTTTTGTTGTTTTTGTTATACTTCTAATTAGGATTACTGTTAATGATTGTGTTTATAACTTGATCATCAAACTTGTGTTACTATGACTATAAAGACATGATGGAAATAAAAATTCCCAATATTTTAAGTATTGTCTGCATTCCATTTATCTAAATAAAACATTTGACCTGCTCTTTGAATTTTATTTTTTTATTCACAAGATGAAAAATTGTTTCTAATTAACGCGTTTTCATAAGTCACCGTGGCAAAAGCTGGTTCATTCCGTTCTTTATTCATCTTATGGGAGAACTACGCTATCATCACATAATTCAGAAACAATGCACATTCACGTTTTTATCGATTTATAATTCTACTTATTTACTTATTCATCTATCTATTTATCTATCTATCTATCTATACACATACACATATGCACACGCTCACGCACTCGTACATAAACATACACATGCGCACACATACATAAACATACACATACGCATACATACATAAGCATACACATACGCACACATACATATATACACAACCTTTATGTGTGTGTGTGTATATGTATCGTATGCACACACACACACACACACACACACACACACACACACACACACACACACACACACACACACACACACACACACACACACACACACATACATGTATATACTTAGGGACCAGTACTGTGCTCCTCCAGACCTTTAGTTGGTTACCTCTGGAAGGGTTTGTGTTTGGTAATAAAAGGAACATAATATGTGTAGTAATGAGACATTAAAGTGCAGTAATAACAAGTTCTATGGTGATGATAATATTTTAAAAAAATAAAACAGAGCAAATGATTACGGAGATCAGGATAAAGTTAGTTTGACCCAGATAAGGTCATTATAGTCATTTATTCCTATATTAACAGTAACCATATACGTCCTAGCTAATAACACATTGGGAAAGGCTCAGCTAACACCTTCGTAGCGTTTTTCCTCCGGATGGGGTACTCCGGGAAAGGGTAGTAAGACACCAAAAGACCAGCTGACACTTTATTCCGTAATGAACGCGGTTTGAACCCCACACACAGGGCATATAGATTTGATTTTCGTCCCTCCAGAGGTAAGTAATGTGTTTAATAAAATTACCTACTTAAACGAAAGAAAAAGAATAATAAAAGAAATCTCATTAAGTAAAAGAAAGAGGCTAATCACATATGATAACAAATACATGCTTTGGGACATACTGTGCAGCAAAATATAAAGATACACGCACCAGACGTGACCTTTACGAAGTAAAATAAAAGCAAAAGTAAATAAAGAGTCTCGGGTGAAGTGGGTATAAAATGACAAAAATAAAATGCGAAAACGACAAAGACAAATATATGGGAGGTGGCCAGGTGCAGCCAGAAAGTGCGAGACAAAAGACCTAACATCTAACAAAAACAAACATGTAAACAAAAGAAATGCCTGCTAGTATTTAGAATGGTATGAAAATAGAAATAGATAAGCAGTTGACAAACTATGAAAAAGTATATAAAATAAATGAAAGGACACTTGAATATAGCATTTATATATATATATATATATATATATATATATATATATATATATATATATATATATATATATATATATATATATGTCTGCTGGCCAGCGAGCAGACAGCGGTCAGCCTATCTCTGTGGCGTACCTTGATCATTAAATATCGGCATTGCATTGTCACTTCCTATCACCTTAAGTCATTTAACTTCACTTAATAAACAGTTGGGAACGAAAGAATCCTTACTGAGGCCTAGCTGTCTCTCAGCACGATACCCTCTCGGCTGGGCCCACAAGTCACGTCTATTCTGTCTGGTGGCTAGAATCTGGATGCAGCTATTACTGATTTTCTTACTTATTTTCACATTTCTAATTCCCAATGCTAAATTACTACATCGTTTGATTTCTATGATTTATTCTTGTACTAGTCAGAATATTTAAGTATTAATACTGACTGATGAATAATAAAAATAATAGTAATAGAAAGTGTGGAATTCATTATACTATTTGTAAGCGTAAGGCGTTGTGAGGTTCTTGATCACCGCTGCCATCAGATGTAAGCGTAAGGTGTTGTGAGGTTCTTGATCACCGCTGCCATCAGATGTAAGCGTAAGTGACCACGCAGGCCACTAGATGTAAGCGTAACAGAGATGGTCTTGGGGCAGTCAGTGAAAGGGGTCTTAACTTGCTGGTTTATTTCAGAAGGTAGATATGAGACCCCCAAGAGACCCCCGTGTCCCCGGGTGGAGGACAAGGTAGTGGAGCTGGACCCTGTGTGGCCTGTCTGCCGTGTCTCTCTGTGTCTGTCCCCCCTGTGTCTTAGGCACGTGCCCTTTTATGCGGCGGTTTCCTTGGAGGGCGGATGTTTATTCCTGTGTGAAAAGAGAAAGGAGGGCAGCACCTGCATCCTGCGCAAGGAGAAAGGCATTTGCTTGGACTGAGGTGTGAATCTGCCATCCGGTCTTGCTACGTATTGTTCACACTATTTAAAATAAATCTCCATTGGTTTAGGATTCATTCATTAGGGACTCGCTTGCTCATTTCCCTTACAATTATGAATGATGAAAACACTCTACCGTGTTGATACTATGGCAGAAAAAACACAACGTAAAAACTAGATTTATTGAAAATGAGACCATTTTCAATAAATCTAGTTTTTACATTGTGGGTTTTTTTACCTTACAATTATATATATATATATATATATATATATATATATATATATATATATATATACATATATATATATATGTGTGTGTGTGTGTGTGTGTGTGTGTGTGTATGTATGTATAAATACGAAGAGGTAGACTAACACAGTTCTGAAGGATTTATCATATTTATTAGACATTTCGAAGGCAAACTAAACCACCATCATCAGTCAGTCAGTTAGACAATAATGATTACATATGTCTGGTTCTGGTTTTAAGTGTACTGGCAAAGGCAAAGAGGAACAATATATACATAGACACATGCAAATGAAAACATATAATGTAATCATACAATATAAGCATATTGATGGAATAGAATAACATATATAAAGTTTATAACCGCCAGTATGGTAAACTAACCAAAGTGGATGTTGCTTGAGATGGAGGGTGAATAAGATGGTTGCGGTGGATGTATTGTTTAGTTCAGGTTTGGTTCTACTGTATAAGCCAGGATTCTGAGATGATAAGGTCTGTGTGGGAGGATAGAATACCGAAATGTGTTATAGAAAGGGTGTGAGTGAAGTTGGGAGTGTTCTCTTATTACTGAGAAAGATTTTATGACATGTCTCAGCTTGAAACACCCAGGCATCAAGTATACCTGAGAGATGCAAGAAAACACGCTATTTACTTATAACAATGGCATCTTCCATTGAAGCATTTACCGAAAGCCAACCTTCACTGGCCTCGAAAACTCGAATCACTCGAGCCTATAACCTATGTAGCAACTTTCATCGGATTTTCAACTGAAATACTTATCTTTATTGAGATTTACTGTGACACCGAGAAGGGATGAAAAAAAGTAGATGCATAATTCTTTCCTGGCTCTTCAAAAGCATCTGACTTCAGAATACATTAGGTATTTACAAAGCAGAGAAGGACGAGTGTAAAAAGACCTCCATCACAACTCCATTACGAATAACTTAATCTACTAACACATTATTCAAGTTTGAAAATTAGGAATTCCTCTTTCCTCTTTGGTTTGTGTTCGTAATATGGTTAATTCTTGTGTAAGAATATTTGTCTTTTGTTGATATATATATTTATGTAATCATTGGTGATAGTACTAGCTCCTAAGCACAAACTATACACTTATGAAGGTACTAAAGTATGTGACCTCGAACATTTATTATTATTACTATTGTTATTATTGCAAAAGTTAAACATGATACTCTACCAATCATTAAAGATAATTAAGGTGCTATCTAGAAAGGCCCATGCAAAAACTTGGTGGAGTGAATGACAAAAAATAAAGTGGATTGAACATTTTAATTGTGTATCTTTGAAAATATTCAAATGATATGTAGAATCATATATTTGGTACATCAAAATATAATCTATATATTTGTCAATATATCTGCAGATTTGAATCATTTTTGGATAAAAATCAAAGGAATAATCAAAGCATTTCACCTGTGTCAAAATAGGGCAATACCCCTCATGACACTCGACTCATAAGTCTTTTAGAAATGTAGAATTACTAGAATGTGAAAGCGTATAGACAAGGAATTTACTGGTCTGGTAGAAAAAAAAACTCTCTGTAGAACAGTTATTTGTCATGATGAGAAACTTTCATAATAATACATGCTCTTGACACCAATTTGAAGACAAGACTTTTATATTTAGAGTCAGACGCGTATTGTATAAGAAATTTAACTTTTTTTCCAACGAAAAACACGTCTGTCTGTCTCTATACGCAACAGCAGAAACAAAATCTTTAATTTTCTAATCATGCTTACAACTCTATATAGATATATCACATTTATTGTTTTTGTTTCTATCAATGTATATACGTTTGATTAGATACAATACATATCTACTCTATTACTGTATCACTATGTAAGGATACAATGTGTACTTTTATCACAATGGCAACCTTGATATTCCATGAACAAAATTCCTCTACCTGCTAATATAACACGAGATAGAAATGACGTGGATCTAATGAGGACGTTTCCTTTTTTGTCACTGATCATTTATTATAAAGCAATATCAAATCCATTCAAATAAAAATGTTCTTCTTGGGAAATACATGTTTGTCCGCCTACACAATGCGAACATTTTTTTTCAGCTAACACATGTATTTATAAACACGATATATATCTACATATACACTCACTCTAAAAAATATATATATAAATACAGTTTATGTGTATATTATACATGTGCATAAACTAGACAAATATAATAGTTATGATGAAGGAATTCATACATATCCTATAATTATTACAAATACGTTGTACATTTCTTTTTTAAAACAGCGATTTTATTTGCATGCATCAAGGTTCAATTCTCCGCAGTTTTCCCACGTAAATCTTCTTCTGGACACCAGGGCGGTCGAGTGAGTAAGGGTCGTACCTGTCTTCGTCTCTTCTCACGGTGTCGTTCTTCCGCCTCCCGTACCTGTCAAGACTCGAGTCGTACCCTCTGTGAACAGGGGGCTGGCGGCCGTACTTGTCAGGGCTGGTGTAAGGGCGGTCCGGGCTGGTGTAAGGGCGGTCCGGGCTGGTGTAAGGGCGGTCCGGGCTGGTGTGAGGGCGGCGTGCGTTTCTGTCCAGGCTTGTTTCGGAAGCGGCGTAGGAGGGTGGGTAATGGGAATGCCTGTCGAGACTAGTGTTTGGCCTCTCGCTGGGGTATGGGCGTTGCCTGTGCGGATTTGCGTGGGCGGGGCGGGAGGATTCAGCGCGGGGGTCCTTGTAAGGCGTGGAGATATCCTTCTCATCTCGATGGGTGCGTGGGCGGGGGACAGTGGACGGCGGGCGTGCTCTAGGCTCATCGTGCTGGTAACCATCGTTATCTTGGCCACTGACTAGGAAATTCTGTACAGGTACCTCTTCGCCAATTACCTGAAAGATGATGATAATAATAGCAATGATAATGATGATAATGATAATAATAATAATCATGATCATACTGATAATAACAGTCATGGTAATAATGGTGATAGATATCATGATAATAATGATCATGTTAATGATAATAATAATGATGATAATAATGGTGATAATAAAAATGATAATAATGATGATAATAATAATCATGATAATGCTAATAATAATGATACTACTGCTACTGTTAGTAAAAATAATGATAATAACTATGATAATAATAATGATAATAATCAAGATAATAATCAAGATAATAATCATGATAATAATCATGATAATAATAATAATAATGATAACTATAATAATAATAAAAATGATAATAATAATGATACTACTACTACTAGTAGTAACAATAATGATAATAACAACAATATCAATACTACTACTAATGATGATAATTATTATTATCATTATAACATGAGGAATGAGAAACATGAGAAATTCAGTTTTTTTCCTTTTTCTCTTTCTTCTTTTCTTCTTTTTCTTTTTCTTTCTATTATCTTTCTCGCTCTCTTTCTCTTTTTTCTCATTCTATCTCTCTTTCTTTTTATTTTCTCCTCTTCTCTCTCTCTCCCTTCCCCTGTCTCCTTCTCTACCCCCTCTTTCTATCTATTAATAAATCTTGCTTCTCTCTCTCCCCCCCCTCCCTCTCTCTCTCAATCTCTCTCCCTATCTTTCCCTCTCCCTCTCTCTCTCTCCCTCTCTCTTTCTCTCCCTTTCCCTATCTCTCCCTCTCCATATCTCTCTCTCCCTCACAGATAAGATTTGAGGGTGATGACCTTCAGATACGTACGAGAATTAAAAGATACTAATGAGGCATACAGCATAAGCCTATATCGACGCTGAAACAATACAAGCAAATGACTAGAAAAACACACACACAAAAAAACGATTCAGTGCGACTTCCTACGGCTTGATCTTTTCTTCGCTAGGAATTGATATAACATGACTTAAAAATAGGAATAGATATAACATGACTTAAAGATGGCATTAGAAATCGAACGGATATAGTTCAAAGTTATGTATCTGTGTTTGTTGGTCTCATTCTCATTAAAGTGAGAGAGAGAAGGATCGATGAAATTGTAAGAAAAGCAACAAAAATAATATTGAAGAGGAGTTATATGAAAGCAACCATGGTAAGGATAACCACAACAGTGAAAATAAAAATTAATAACGGCAATAATAACAATGAAAAAAAAAGATAATCGTTATCATAATCATTACCATTCTCCAAAAAAGGAAAAAAAATGTCACATAGCCATCCAGTGTACGAAAAGTAAACAAATAAGAATAAGTACTAAAATAAGAACATGAAAACAAACACAAACCTGATTATATGTCTTCTTCATACGCGTCCTTCGGTGCAGAACGAAGCCCGTGGCGATAAGCAGGCTGAGAACCACAAGGGAACCCAGGACACTTAACACAATCACGAGGGTGTAATCGTTTTGTATGTCATTTAGCTTTTCTTCTGTGTATTTATGGGCTTCGTCTGTGGCCTGTTGGGGGAGGGAGGGTAGTGTTAATTAAATCTTCATTGTTGATGGTTGTCCTGTCTCTCTTTCTCTCTTTTTTTCTTATCTTTCCTCTCTCCTTTTCTTTCTCTCTGTCTCTGTCTCTGTCTATCTGGCAGTAAGTCTGTCTGTCTGTCTGTCTGTATGTGTCTCTCTCTCTCTCTTCCTCTCCTCTTATCAACGCTCTCTTCGTGTCTATTCTTTAACGTTTCTTAATCCTAAGTCTCTCGTTAAGAAGAACAAAGAAAAAAAAGAAGCACAAAGAAAAAAGACCAAGAACGAAGAATAAGAATAAGAAAAGGAGAACGGCAACAAAGAAGAAAATGAAGAACAAAGAAGAAGAAGAAACATAATAATAATAATAATAATAATAATAATAAGTAATAGTAATAATAATAATAACTATAAAAAAAGGAAAAAACCTCACCATCTTGACCTCTTCGATCTTATCAACCAGAGCGGCCTCGTTAAACTCGAAATCGTCATCCTCCTTAACATCCTCGACCACAACATCCAGCGTTTGGGAATCCTCCTCAAGACTCCCAAGGATCTGCTGAGTCACTGTGCCGTCAGCGATCTCCGTCGTGGAGTACTCGATGCTCGCGAGGACGGTCTGGAGGCGCTGGCAGAGGTCATCCGAGTCGGCCGTCGGCGTGCAGAGGTCGGACGTCTGGCGGTCAGCTGCTAGGCGGTAGAAGGAGGCTTTGGACACTGATGTTGAGCTAGTAGAAGTGCTAGTAGTGGACGGGGAAGTGGTTGTGCTAGTAGTGGCCGGGGAAGTGGTTGTGCTAGTGGTGGACGGGGAAGTGGTTGTGCTAGTAGTGGTCGGGGAAGTGGTTGTGCTAGTGGAAGTGCTAGTAGTGGTCGGGGAAGTGGTTGTGCTAGTGGAAGTGCTAGTAGTGGTCGGGGAAGTGGTTGTGCTAGTGGAAGTGCTAGTAGTGGTCGGGGAAGTGGTTGTGCTAGTGGAAGTGCTAGTAGTGGTCGGGGAAGTGGTTGTGCTAGTGGAAGTGCTAGTAGTGGTCGGGAAAGTGGTTGTGCTAGTAGTGGTCGGGGAAGTAGTTGTGCTAGTGGTGGACGGGGAAGTGGTTGTGCTAGTAGTGGTCGGGGAAGTGGTTGTGCTAGTGGAAGTGCTAGTAGTGGTCGGGGAAGTGGTTGTGCTAGTGGAAGTGCTAGTAGTGGTCGGGGAAGTGGTTGTGCTAGTTGAAGTGCTAGTAGTGGTCGGGGAAGTGGTTGTGCTAGTAGTGGTCGGGGAAGTGGTTGTGCTAGTGGAAGTGCTAGTAGTGGTCGGGGAAGTGGTTGTGCTAGTGGAAGTGCTAGTAGTGGTCGGGGAAGTGGTTGTGCTAGTAGTGGTCGGGGAAGTGGTTGTGCTAGTGGAAGTGCTAGTAGTGGTCGGGGAAGTGGTTGTGCTAGTGGAAGTGCTAGTAGTGGTCGGGGAAGTGGTTGTGCTAGTTGAAGTGCTAGTAGTGGTCGGGGAAGTGGTTGTGCTAGTAGTGGTCGGGGAAGTGGTTGTGCTAGTGGAAGTGCTAGTTGTGGTCGGGGAAGTGGTTGTGCTAGTAGTGGTCGGGGAAGTTGTTGTGCTAGTAGTGGACGGGGAAGTGGTTGTGCTAGTAGAAGTACTAGTGGTGGACGGGGAAGTGGTTGTGCTAGTAGAAGTACTAGTGGTGGACGGGGAAGTGGTTGTACTAATAGAAGTGCTAGTAGTGGTCGGGGAAGCGGTTGTGCTAGTAGAAGTGCTAGTAGTGGTCGGGGAAGTGGTCGTGCTAGTAGAAGTGCTAGTGGTGGACGGGGAAGTGGTTGTGCTAGTAGAAGTGCTAGTAGTGGTCGGGGAAGTGGTTGTGCTAGAAGTGGTCGGGGAAGTGGTTGTGCTAGTAGTGGTCGGGGAAGTGGTTGTGCTAGTAGTGGTCGGGGAAGTGGTTGTGCTAGCAGTGGTCGGGGAAGTGGTTGTGCTAGCAGTGGTCGGGTAAGTGGTTGTGCTAGTAGAAGTGCTAATAGTGGTCGGGGAAGTGGTTGTGCTAGTAGTGGTCGGGGAAGTGGTTGTGCTAGTGGAAGTGCTAGTAGTGGTCGGGGAAGTGGTTGTGCTAGTAGTGGTCGGGGAAGTGGTTGTGCTAGTAGAAGTGCTAGTAGTGGTCGGGGAAGTGGTTGTGCTAGTAGAAGTGCTAGTAGTGGTCGGGGAAGTGGTTGTGCTAGCAGTGGTCGGGGAAGTGGTTGTGCTAATAGTGGTCGAGGAAGTGGTTGTGCTAGTAGTGGTCGGGGAAGCGGTTGTGATAGTAGAAGTACTAGTGGTGGACGGGGAAGTGGTTGTGCCAGCAGAAGAGCTAATGGTGGATGAAGAAGTGGTCGGAGAAATGGTGGTAGTAGCTTCTGGATCTGAACTACCACTGGTACCAGAGTCTGTCGACGTTACAACAGTGGAGGCCAAACTAGTAGTGGGAGGACTAGCAGTAGTTGTGGGCTGAACTGCATTCATGAGTTCGTCGAGGGATTCGCTGATTTTCTCCAGGACCGTCTGGATTCTTTCCAAGAGTTGTTCTTCTGACATCTCATCTGGAAATGAATTATTCTGATGTACAGTGAAATATATAATAGATGTTATATCTCATAAGCTGCTTCGTCTACGTCATATCTCATAATCTGCTTCATATTTACTATCGTACATTAATTAAATCCTTTCATAATAACTTTTTTTTTCTTTTTTTTTTCTTTTTTACTCGGACATGGAATCACACGTTTATAATAAAGGTGAATAAGAAAAAAGTTGGTGATGAAGAGAGACAGAAAATAAGAAAATGAAAGTAAGACGATATGAAAGGGAGAGAAAGAAAAGAGAGAAAGGGGAAAATAAAAAAAGAGAGATAATATTAATGACAGAACATGACAGAAGCTTACCAGACTGTGCGTAGGCCCCGTGGGTCCCTGCAAGCACTAACAGGGTTAAAAATATGGCGGTTCCCCATCTCGCTTTTGGACGCATGGCTTCTATTTGTCTGCAGAAGCAAAGAACCATTTCAGAAAAAAATAAATGGAAGAGAGAAAAAGGAAATGGCGAAAAAATGAAAGAAAATATACATAAATTGTAGATACACATTCTCACGATGGAGATAATAATGACAAATATAAAAATATTACTACAATGATAATAATGATGATCAATAGCTAAGACAAATGGAAAGTGTTAACAGAAAACATCAGTCTTAGTGGTTTGAAAAGGTTTCAAACGAGAGATGGAAAGAACAGGCATTTAAAGCAAATTTAATCAGTCCTAAAACCGAAAAAGTCCATGTGGAAAATAAATGAAAATTGATGAAAACATAAACTAATTTAATTAGCACAAAGAGACCGCAAAAGAAGACATAATTGGGTAGGTTATGAGATTCACCGAGAAGTCTGTAGGATGCGTTCCTGAAAATATATATTAGAGCGAACAGACTAGCCTGGCAGACAATGAAAAAATGCAAGATCTTGAAGGATGTTTTTTTCATCCAAGCAGACTACAAAATTTGAGCAAGAAAAAACTGATGTGAAAAAAGTTGTATAAATTCACTGCTTTCGTTATTCCGTATGTAAATAGACTGGTGACGATGATGGTATTGCCTGTAGACCTGGAGCTGAGAAACAATGGTTTCTAGGCTTCAGGATTATGTGTGTAAATTCTATAACCTCCTCCCCCCCAAAAAAGTATATAGATATATAAAATGCAATAAAAACCGTAAAGTGTTTAAATTGCAATCAAAGTTTACTACAAAGTGGTTAGTTGGTATCCGAAATAGATTGTAAGAATTCGTTCAGCGGACAGTTGTTAGTTGACGTTTCTTTATTCTGTACAAAATTATTTTTTTTATTTTTACCTCTTTAGGATATTTGTATATTACTTAGTTCCATATGCTTCAGAGAAAACAAATGGTGTACACAACATACTTTCTATTAACCTTTTACAGTTTATCAGGTTTATTATTTTTATATCTATTTGATTCCGCTGATCTCTACATTTTGGAATATACAATTAAGTATTTCTCCTAAAATATTATACTATCTCTTATTTTGCATTGCTTCTGACTGAGAAAAATATTTGAAGTTTACAAAATGGCAACCTAATTAGAGGCGGGAACCTGGAGCTTAGAAGAAGGCGATAAAAAAGATACTTATATAAACCATGGGCACAAGACGACGTGGCACTAGGCCTACCCAGCCTCAAACAACAAAGGAAAATATCGGCACGACTTAACCCCTTTGCTTACCATGTGGTTACCTATAGCCGGTATAGTTAAGGACGAAATGACTATGCATAAGCGGACTCTCTCAACACACACAAAAAAACTAAATGGACCACCAAGATGATGAAGGGGCTGACTAGTGACAAATAAAAGTGGTTAAAACTAAAACAAATATTTAGTGTCATTCTAATTAGTATCATCATCATAAATACCACTATTGTTCACCTCAACATCATTATCAGCTTTAATTATTATTATCTACATTATCAGTATTATTATCACCAATGTTATTTCCTCTCATTTACCTCTGTCTGAACAACACTAGTATTACAAAAGTCCTTCTAATACCTCATTCATCACGTCATGGTTAATAAAAGAAACATTTTCCACAAATAACTCAGTAGGATTAACCTTTCAGCCGACACAGACTCTGCGATTTAATCTAGTTCTTATCGCTTACTTGGGCTTTACTTAAAAAAAAAAGCTGATAAGTTGTTTTTCTCTCATTTCCAAAAAGAATGGAGCTAAGCTGTCAAACTGCCCTCTTCTTTTTTAAGGGGCTGAAATCGAGGACAAAATATGTTATGGCGTCACTACCTTTTTTATCAGCCTCGGATCTGAAACTTTTTTTTACGATGCCATAAAATAATTAGGCGCCCCACCCCCCTCCCTCCCTTTGACGTTATTGTGGCGCGTTATCTGTGGTCTTTCGTCACCAGCATTTCCTTTCCCTTGATTCTAACTTGAGATAACGGAACAACACAAATGTACTTACAGTCTCTCTAGCTCAACGCAGATGTACTTACAATCTCTCTAGCTCAGCAGAATAAGAATAGTTCACTCTTATTATCACGGCGCCGACTGCAGTCAAAAATAACGATCAAATGGCACCGAGTTCATAAATGTCTTATCAATTTATCACCAGATTAACAAATCACACCAATCACGGGGAAGAAAAAAGCCTATTTCGACAAAAAGGCAAAAACAAAAATAAGCCTATATCTTTTTATCTTTACTTAGCCGCTATCTCCTTTCTCCGTTCATCATTGGTAATATTATCATTAATTTACGTATTAATCATTATCATTATCATAGGTATTGATACCATCCATATTATTTTACTTTTCACTATTAACATGATCATAATGATAATAATTATTACGATTA